ATATATATATATATATATATATTCATTTTATGTCTTGGAATTCAAGAATATATATTAGAATTCTCAAAAGTGCTTCCTAATTTTTATTTAAACACAATCGGTGTTTTTGTAAAAGTTTATTGGCAATGCCCCGAGCAAGTACCTATTTCCTTACAATTATTATTTTCATTTGGTATTTTATTTTTAATGAAAAATCAGGAAAAAAATTTATATAAAGGTGTGTGTTGGACTTTTTGACTCAAAGAAGGTTATTATGTAAACATATTACATAAAAGAGATCATTTCAAAATATTTTATTACTTTAGTATAGTCAATGAGAGTGGTATTGGTCAATGCAACATCATCTAATGCCACATCATTTTTTTTAAATTTTTTAAAAATGGATAGAAAGTAGAGTTGGAGCCATGTGTGTCAATGAAGATCCTACATGCGATTCCAATGACACTTGTGATAAAAAAAAATTAAAAATAAGTGTTATTATCCTCAAATAGGACATCATTTTTTTTTTAAATATAGTGCTCTTCTTTTCACTGAGTAACTATATTTGTTTATTTATTTTTAGATAGTGTCGCTATTTCTAATGGAGAATCAATTTTTATTTAAAATATAGTCTCACTATCTCCAATGGGAGGGAGGCTAGACTTGTTTATTTTTTCTCTCTTGTAAATAGTATTGCTACCTCGTTGAAAGATTAATTATTTATTTAAAATATAATTCCGCTACCTCCATGGGGGGACTACCTTTGTTTCTCATTCTACATAGCGTTTATCTTCATATCAAGCCTTATCACTTATTATGAGCATGGGCTTCAATGGACATGATGCAAAGAGAGCATTGAAGATAAACATTCAAAAATTGGAGGTTGCTATTGATTTTCTTGTTGACGACAAGGTAAAGAAAGATAAAAAACAAAAGGAAGATATTGAGAGAAGAAACGAAATTTGGAGGCTGACACTAAGGTATCCAAAGATACCAAAAGTAGTCCCCTAGTGAGTGTAGTGGGACCATATATATATATATATTTTTAAAATGATCTCCAATAGAAGTATGACATTATCTATAAGAAAAAAAAAACTTATTTTCCTAATGAGAATAGTAGGACCATATTTAAAATAAAAAATAAAAAAATTGATCTCTAACTAGAGGTACAACACCACCTAAAAAAAATAAACAAACCTTGTTTCTCAATGAAGATAACGATATCACATTTAAAAAAAATAATAATGTCCCACTTAGGAGTAACAATACTTGTTTTTAGTTTTTTTTTTTATTTTTTTTTTATTTTAAGTGTCATTAGAGTTGTGTGTGAAATTATCATTGACATACATAACTCTAATTCCACTTTTGAGTCATTTTTAATAGTTTAAAAAAAGTTAATGTGACACAGAATGACATTACTTAATTAACAACATCTTGTTAACTACACCAAATTGATAAAATATTTTAAAACAGTTCCTTTATGTAATATTTTTACATAATGACCCTCATTAGGTAAAAAAAAAAAAAACGTATGTATTACTGTTTAAAAGAAAATAATATGTATTAAAAGTGGACTTAAATTTTTTTCTTGGCTCATTTATTGTTTACATTTAATTAACAACTAGTAGTTTAGCATGATACACAAACTAATATTTTTTTATAAATCAAAGTCCCACATCGAGTTAAAAAAAGTATATTTCTTTTATGTCTAATTGTAACCCATAATTAAAGTCTCACATCAAATAGATTAATGACTCATAAAGAGTATATATACTCATATAGTTA